TTGACCTGTTGAGACCAAACTGGCATTCTGGTTAGTCAAAAAGTATGGTATGGTAAAATCTTCAAACATTGAATCATTTATGAAGAAGGCTTTTACAAATTATTAGAGAGCGAGTGAAAGAGAATACACGTGCATTAGAGCCACTGCATCATACCTGGACAGGCAGTCAACCAGTTAACAAGTACTAGTTGCCTTCAGTTTCGCAAGGAACTGATAACTTCTGTACATGCCAGAGCAGATATACAGTGCAAATGACCGTACCGAGGATTTTATGGTCAATCGCAATGGAAGTGACCTGTACCGCTCGGGAATCCGACCCGAGCCGCCCGATTCGCAGTCCACCGGTCTAGTTATTTAGCATAGTAGACGGCACTTTGTATCATTGTCAGCTTATTCAGCAATATAAGAGGAACACGTGGTGTATAAATTTGACGAACTGTATCATAATAGTGAAAGATTATGACTTCGACCGCTCAGGTACACGTCGATTTTGAAATATATAGGTTTTTTACCATACGCATGAAAATTTATTCGAAATATAATACTGACTTAAATAAAGCAATACAAAAAATGTATTAAAGCAGTGGAAATATTCGTGCGCATATTAAGTACTTTCTATTTTGTCACGAATTCACAATAAAAAATATTTTATTTTTCTGCCATACAAAATAAAAAATGATTGTATTTCAAATAAATGTTTGCATGTTTAAAAAAGTCAATTAAGATATTTGAGCTTTCGCCTTATTCCATTATATAAAAAGACAGCACTTGTCTATACTTTATTAACATTCAAACAGTACATTTGCTCATACAAAAACAATGCCATTTTTTCGTGAAAGACATCAGGAAAGCACAGTTACTCTTTGTTTATAAAAATAAATCTGAAGATATCAAACAGATAAAAATTGTAAAAAATTATATATCACACATATCATAAATATGACAAATGAATACTGTTGAAAGCTGTTAAAAATATCACCTACCATTTTCTGTCAGTGTTGTGGTTCCTTCCCCGCTAAAACATCACAGTGTCATGTTGATAAGACAGAGAAAAAAATCACCTTTAATTCTGAAATCTGAGTTTGTAAGAAAGCTATACTGTTACTTTTCTGTATATCACTGTTTTTATGAGATAAAAACCTGTACGATTTTAAAAACGCGATAAGATTAATTGCCTTTCTTTTTTTTCCTTTTCCCTCCAAAATCTTAAAACGTCTGCGTAGATTGTAACTTAACAATTGATAATGGGGAGTTTTTAAAGTTTTAGTGTATATTCAGGGTGTTTTTTTATTTCGGAATAAAATAACATTTTTTTTAAATTGTTAACGATAATCTTACATAAAATAGGTATATTGTTTTGATAGTTTGAATAAAATAAAATGGTACACGCTCAGCCATTGAAAACTTCGCGTGAGACAAGATTTATCTTAGATCGAATGTAATTGAAACTCTGTCTGTATGCTAGATGATTTTTGTAGATTCTTTCTGCAACAGTTGTTTGTATATAAAGGCGGGGGAGCGCCATTTAATTTATCAGATGTTTTAAGAAAAATGATATTATTGTATATAAAACAACGCATTGTCCTACCCCTTTTCTTTGAGCAGACGACAATCTTATTAAGAAAACAAAACAGGGGCGCTGCTGATAATATTCAATTATTTTGTTATCTGAAGTTGTTTTTGTGTGTTTTTTTTGACAGGACTAACGGAGTAATTGTCGGCTGCAGACCCGACCACAGACAAGAAACATGCTGCCAAAAAGGCGAGCCATTATGTATGTATGTAAATAAATAACTTCAAAAACAATAGATTCTCAAGTATATGATAGTTGCGGTTAGACATATGCTCAAATTATTGCGGTGTTCTGTTTTCCCGCCTACGATTCGTACTGCTGCCATTACGCCTTCTGTAAACCAACAAAAAAATGAACGTTTTCTACCTTTCGTTTCATTTCGTTTCTAGAATAGAAGTAGAAAATGAAACTGGCACATTGTGCATGAATTGCCTAAGTATTCTTAGTTAAATCACGGCTTTTGTTTAATGAAAGTCGTTTTCAATCCGTCTTACTTCAATATAAACTGCTTATCTGTACTAATATGACATCAAGCACATGCAAGTACTCGTTGATAAGTGAGCCGGTACCGCAGTCGCAACTTCTCTGTCCTATCCGTCAAACTCTGGATAAAGTATGACTAACCTAAGCCATGAGCCTAGCTAAGGCGGGAAATAAAAGCCCGAATAAAAAAATAATCAAAAATAATCGAAAAATGGTTTATCACAATTATCCTTTTTTAGTACTAAATGACCCCATGGTGGGAGTATTTTTACCCTAGGTGCATGATTATTAAAACTTGTAGACGTCTACTGGGCAATGCTACATGACAAATGTATAAGCTCTGTGCATTGTAGTTTTCCAGATGTGATTTCTTATAAAGAACTACAAAACAAAAGGTTCTCAAGTGGTAAGATTACATATGGCATAAAAATCCCAGGGGAGGGCAATTTTTAACCTCATGGTCATGGTTATCATACATTTTGTAGAAGACTTCAAATTGATGCACATGCCAAATATCTAAGCTTTGAGCTTTTATACACTTAACAAAAGTTCTAACCGATCACTTTTGATTATTTTATAACGGGTCAATAGATCCTTATTAAATTTTGCAGATGTGATTTTTGTGTCATTTTCTACCGATTTGTGGAATGAAAAATAATTTAATACGGTTCAATGCACTCACGCGGGAGGCAGGGGCGGTTTACACATTTGGGCACGAAATGTTCGTGCAGAGCGTGGTGTGTATTAAATTTTACATTGCATAAATCCTTGTTAACTTTATAAGTGAAAAAACATAAAACATGGCACGAATGTTGATGTAAGATCGTGCCGTAGCAGTTGGAATGTTGAATGCTGGAGTCTCTATCAGACAGGTGAGTGGTTGTTCATAAAAATATTTTTTTAAAATATCGATAAAGTATTATTTAAATAGAAAAATTTCATAATTTTATTATTCTCAATGTGTTCATTCTCTTCGAAATAAAATAAAAGTCGGATTTATTGGTATAATTCTTTTTCATATATAAGCGAAAACTCAGGGTGATCGGTTAGAACTTTTGTTCAGTGAAGTTTAGGAGCAAAATTTCAAAGTCTACATGAAATGACACCAGGACGGGACAAATTTTAACCCCAGGGTCAAAATTTATGTAACATTTATAGAGGTCAACTAAGCAATGCTACATGCCAAATATCATAGATCCGAAATTCTTTAGTCAAGGAGTAAAAATTTTCAAAATTTACATGTGACCCTAGGACGGGGCCAATTTGTACCTCAGGGTCACAATTTATTTAACATTTGTAGAGGTCAACTAAGCAATGCTACATGCCAATTTATCATAGCTGTGGGCATTGTAATTTCACACAAGACTAAAATGTATAGTTCAATATAAGTCTATAGAAATCAAGTGGACACCCCCTCCATGGGCGGGTTCAATTTCGACCTGAGGGAGTCCAGACCCATGTTCTGCATATCATCTTGTTATAAGTAACATTTTTGCCTAATATTTTTAATATCCTTCTCTTGGCTCAGATACAAAGTGGACATGAAATCATAATAACTAACTGTGACTTTGAACTTGACCCGATGAAGGTCAAATACATTGTATGTGCTCTGCACATCGTCTCATTGTCGTTAACATTTCTGCAAAGTAGTCTCAATTTCTTTCCATCGGTTCAAAAGATACAGAGCGGACACAAAATTGCTAACAGACGGACTCGCGACCAGGTGCTTTACAATATGCGCCATTTTTTTCGCAGGTGTATAAAATGTAAACAAATGCATGTAGGTAAGTTCTTCTCCAAATCCCTCCAGAGGCGTGCACGTCGCGGAGAAGGCACACGGCAGGTCAAGGTCAAGTCATCTTAAGTACCAGAGGTGATTGGTTGACCTGTCGTGACTAACTCTGGAGGGTTGGCGCTAACGAGAGCCGTTTTTTGTTATCGACCAGTATGGAACTTGATGCCTGGCCAGTATTGTCGTACTCCTCTACCACCAACGAACGAAGAATAGGCTTCAGGAAGATTCAGCATGAAAAAGACGTCCCCGATGTGACTACCCTAGTGGACCGGCATGGATGCTATATTCTCGGACAGATGGTTTAACCGGCGCCGAGTATAAATAAACTCAAATTGACTGACTGACTGACTGACTGTAGTTAAGTTAATGCTGGGAGTAGTTGTGTAAGGCTGTTCCATTATATTTACAGTGATGTGGGGGTCGTTTAGAATTTTCAGGTACTACAGTACTAGGCACTTTTCGGAGAGTCGTATTCATTCGAGAGTACAGCATAACAAGGTATCATGGCCATGGGACCTACATTCAGTATCCGGCTCGACACAAACCGGGTTTACACCAACAGCCTTCTTTCTTGTTGCACAGAAAAAAAACTATTCATGTACATAGCTGACTTCTACAGAGGCAATTAGAATACCAGAAATAATGAAAAGCTTGGTAATGTTTTTCAGGGTGCATTTATTCCAAAGTGAGAAACCCAATAGAAAAACTAATAATGATGCAAAACCTAGTCGAATATTTGAAAATTTGACGTTTTAACTCAAAAATTATTTTTAGGACCGGAAGGTCAGAATCGACACGTAAAATAAAAAATGACCCGAGGCATTATTAATTTCAGGGCCAGTTATCACTTTCTGGCCTATCTCTAACGTGTATTTATTCATGTTAAAGGAATCTTATGACTCAGAAATGCATTGCTTTTGTTGCTTCGTTTGCAATTGGTATACATAAAGTGAATTCATGAATACATGTATTTAATTTCTAAAGAATTAATGAAAATGGGTTTCTGAGGCATAGATATCTTCCAAACAGAAAAGAATAAATGTTTACTAATAAAATCCTAATAACAACAACCTAATATTTGCAGGCACCTTTGAATCATTTTATGTAGCATTTCAAAACTACAATTTCCAAAGTAAAAACAACCCTTCAGTCTTTAATGACTTTTCTTTATTTTTCATCTATGTGAATATATCACAATTAATTAAACATGTTCAATTAATGAACTAAAGTCATTAATCAATGGTACATTCATTTCAAAAACAATCTTGTCATCATGATTTATTTACACTTAACAATGTTATGCAAAATAAGTTTAGTCAAATGTGACAAATAAATTCCAATGTTACGTCACTAAATTCCATGTGGAAAAAAAACAACTTAATTCAGCATAAACACAGATTAATTTGCACTCGTTCCACATGACACATCATTATCTACACATGACACCTCATTATCTATCTACACATGACACCTCATTATTTACACATGACACTTCAACATTATCATCAACCATATTCTATTCAGCACTAACAGTTAAGTTTTAAAATGTACCAAGTAAGTTGAAGGCACTTTTACTTCTTACATATATATAGCTACTTGCAATGAGTATTGCAAATTTAAACAATAATCCAGCTTATATTGACATAAACTTTTGGCTTTGAGATCCGTTTCAATAATTTGAACACATACTTGTACTTATATTTGATTATTTTCACTCTAAATAATCACTGTTTTTACCTTTGTCTGACCATGTCAATCAGAACTGCATGACAAACACTATTCCGCACACTGCTATGATAAAAACTGTCTGAACCTTTGTGTAATCCGTATATTTGTAAATCTTTATATCAGTCCAATGTACAAATAGTTACACTTTCATGGCTAATATTCCAAGTCCCTCAACACCACCTTCCAATCTCTGTTTAGGTAAAAGAACTGTTCACACTTAAAAAGAACGGTCACAAATTCTGCACATTTCCAGACTGTTACAAACAGCAGTATATTATAGAAAAATTTTAAACCTTCAATCAAATACTTCCACAATAACGCATTTTTGCTTCCAGAGCAAAATTATTCAATCAATAATCTATCAATAATAAGCACTTTATCAGAGCACAGTTAATCATCTAAGTCATCAACAATACCAGCTGTTTCAACAAATTAGGAAGCATTGTACAATATATTACTGAATTCATTGTACTTATTTAATTCCCTCATATCCTCATGCAATATAACCTCAACTCTTCCGACAAATTTTATCATGTTCCACATTCTGTTGCCATGAATTTCATTCAATTTCCTTTTCTACATTTGTTCTACATCCTCTATACAAGCTTCTTTTACACTTCCAGATGAAACACCTGTAATTTCTATTGCAGGAATTCTTCAATATCAAAACCCTCGTTAGAGTCATCTCCCTGTGTGTCTCCCTGACCTTCATTCTCACTCTCTGACTCGGATATCTCAAGGTCATTGTTGAGATCAGTATCCATGGTTTCCTGTTGGTCATCAAATTGATTCTGTTCTTCCACTGCCGCTGCTTGACTAGCAAGAGCACTGTGACGGAAAAACTCGGACGGATCAAAGCTGTTCTCATCATCAATCTGTGGTGGTTGTACCTGCAAAATAAAATATTTGAGAGTTACAGATGTTTCTTAAACATTCAAAGCTATACAAATAAATTGCTTGAAGGCAAGACTTGATTTTCAAGTGAAATAATTAACTTAATCACTGACACAGTTTTTAAATTAGAACAAGAGCGGTTAGTAGGACAGCTTGCTTAATTCTTCTCAAAGCTTTCTAGTAAAACAAGAATCTGGATGATGTAAAAACAATTAAGTTCAAAAAGAGCCACAATTCTGTCAAAATCCATGCTAGAGTTAAGGGCCTTTGACCTCCTTATATGCTCTCATATAAGTGTGTAAAGTAGTTTCAAAGATACCAACCTGCACAAAACCTAACCATTTAAATATATCAACCTGCACACAAACCTTAACCAAAGTGTGATGTCGACGCCTGGGTGAGTAGAATACCAACATCAAACCTGCTTTATCAACAATAACTACCTGATAATGACAACAGTAACACGATATCAACAATGACATGCTATCTACAACAGTTTACCTGATATTGTTGTGAGTTAGCAGCTTCCATATAACTTTGGTCATCATCCATGTATGTGTACCCTTGTTGTTCTACATCATCCTGGGTATTCTTTTCATCATCCGAATCATCACTCAATTTACCTGCAATAAAATCATCATTTAATTTATGTGATATAAAATTATCACTTAAATAACCACTTAATCAACCTGCTATAACATCTTGAATTTTAAAATTATAACTTAATTTAACTTCAATAAAATTATCACTTAATTTACCTGCAATAAAATCATGGTTTAAATACATGTTTTCCCTAAAACACGTTAATCTTATATTTCTTTGTCACAAAGATATCTCAATGTAATCCAATAAAATCATCACTAAAAGCTGAAATCTCACTCTGTTTATTAATATTTGGCAGCCAAAACATTAATACTTCCCTCTACATAACAATCACTCAAAACACATAAGTAACTCCTGATGTTTGATAAAATATTACAATCATTGTCAACATGTAACATTTCCAAATCTTCAACTTTGAGGTCAAATGAAAAGCATGTTCCTTCTTTTTTTTATGAAAGATCAATTTCTAACTTCTCACCAAGGATATCATTTTCTGCCTCCATTCTGTCTGGTGTTTCATCCAGGTCACCATCTCCATCCTCTTGTTTCACTTCCCTCTTTAACTATACAATATTATTCATTAATTACTTATTGTTATGCACAATTTGTGATAAAAATTATTGATCATTCTCACTCATGAAGTATTAAATCAAAGTTGCATGATTTTTTTTACGATATGACATATAAAGACTTAGGTAAAGAGACATGACATAATTCATTTTAATGTTAAACAAGGCACAATAAGTAAAAAAAAATGTTTCTTCTTCAGAAGTGCAAATATGAGTTTTATTACATTAAAATAATGGTTTAAGAACAACTTGGATCCATATCACCTGTGGATATAGCGCTGGATGTGAAATTATTTGTCTTTCTTGCTATACTGTGTTTTAATAGCAGGATATCTACCCCTCATTGTTGTACAAAACTTTACTGTTCACTAGAACCAAACATATTCTTTATAATGTACTTAATCTGGGAACTATTTATAATTTAAATTAGTAAATTTACCTTTTTCCTGCTAAAAGAATCCTCATCTCCTTCAATATCCACAAAATCAGAGTCAGACATACTGACTCCCTGGAAGTATGGCTGAAATTAACAAAAAACTTTATAGCAATTCAAAGGTACAATATAGCTCTGAAGTCTTTAATGAAATTAAATATTTACAAATATTTAAATTCAATCAGTATATTTGTTGAAGACAAGCTCTATATTTTGCACTTCCAGCATTGATGTAATATGTTATAACAAAAATCCTTTTTTCATACTAGTATTTCAGGAATTTGTTTATATTTCAAAAACTTCCACTCTACAGTCACCGGAAATGAGAACTTACTTTATCTTATTAATATAAAACATCAGACATCAGTCATAATCTAACAGAAGGAAATATGCTATCATGCAAAACATGACACTCAACATCTTTTTGCATTCCCCCCCCCCCCCAAACTTTCTTTGCCTCATTTCTTTATTGCCTTTGGTAAATGGTCAATGGGCAGTATGTAACATTATTTCAGTCACACACTGGTATAAAGCTACCTACTATGTTAATAAATCCTGTACCAATACTAATTTTCTATTCTGTAAATAAATTATTTCAAATAAACTTTTTGAAACAGGGACACAAATGATGTCAAGATAAATATTTTTTCAACACACATAAAAAAGCCATGTGCTTTGTTTATGTTTCCAACAGTTTTCAGATACATTATTCTAGTATCTCTCTCCATACTGAAGTAACTAGGCAACAGAAATGACAGATATAGTTGATGTGCAATACCTGTGAATCTTGTGTAACCCCAGCATTAGAATCATCCATCTCAGTATATTCCTTTATTGTTACACCTTCTTTAGTAGTACTGTAGCCATCTAGAGACTCATTGTCCAAACCTTAAATTATGTAACAATATTACAATGTTTAGCCAAAATGTAATATATAACAACAGTCATAGGCATAAGAAATACATGTATAAACAAGTTCTAAGTTTTATCATAGTTCCTTGGAGAATTGTCATAATTCATGATTTTTCAAAAATTCTTTATAAAAGATTAAACTACATTAAACACTAACTTATTTTAAAGTATATGCAAAGGCAATTAGGCTTTGTTTTGCACAACTAACTTATTGTATAGTATATGTAAAGGCAATTACGCTTCTTTTTGCGCAACTAACTTATTGTAAAGTATATGCAAAGGCCATTAGGGTGGGTTTTTTCACAATGAAAATCATGCAAAACTGTATCTCCCACATGGATAAAACAGACATGATAGCATCAAAGTAAACTGACCTTGAGTGTAGTCATCATGTGTAATAGATGTACCAGTGACAACACTCTCAGACTCTGCGGCCTCCAGTGCTGCCTCCTGAGCTGCTCGAATATCTTTCTCCAACTGTGTGATTGTCTCCTCATTCTGTGTCATAAAAATTGAGCCGCGTCATTGACAAAACCAACATGATGGGTTGGCGACCAGCATGTGCACATCCGCGCAGTCTGATCAGGATCCATGCTGTTCGCAATCAGTTTCTCTACTTGTAATAGGGTTTGTAAGTGAACAGCATGGATCCTGACCAGACTGCGCGGATGCACAGGCTGGTCTGGATCCATGCTGGTCGCAAACCCATTATGTTGGTTTTGTCATGATGCGGCTCAAATATAACAACTTATGTTGTTATCATTTTAACAACTCTGTATTTATTCAACATTTTAAATTGTTCATAAATAAAACTATGAATTGACTTGTTGCTGTTTACTTTATAAATTTTTTCATAAATGTGAAAAACCCCGTTTAAAAATTTTGTTGTTTAAAATATAATAAAATTTTATTTTCTCCTTTTTTTAAACCCCCTTTACAATTTTAAGTTTACTCAATTTTTTTAGTTTAAATTTGTTTTGGAACCCTAAAAGCTCTTGGAACACTAAAACCCTTTCCCCTGGAAACCCAATCATTACTAACCCAATGAGAGAAATGTTTCTTCAAAAAGAAAAAACCCAGTTTGCCCCCGTTGGGGTTTTGAACCCACAAAACCAAACAATCCTTAATAATTAGTCGTTTTGCATTAACCACTCACCCAAAACTGTCACAAAAACAACTTTTGGGATTTAAAAGCTAAACCCTTTTAATTATAACAAAAACTAAAAATCTTTTAAAGATTAAAAATATTTTTAAATTAAATCTAACTTAACCGTACTAACTTCAGATATGATTTGATAAAAAATTATATGCATAGAAAGTTACAGTATGTAACAAAATATAAGTAAATTTATAATGTAATTTACCTCCTGAATGGCAGACATACAAACATCTAACATTTTCTTTGCTGTAGTTGTAAAGGCATGGTCCTTGCCGTTATATCTGATACTATTGTCTAAGATTAGCTGTATATCACCAATAAAACCTTCCTTACTCTGATACTGATGACTTTGAATTTTCTGTTATCAAAAATAAATAATGACATTAACAATAATATACAGTATACCTTTAACACTTCACATTCTGAAATTTCAGAAATGGATTCAACCAACTACATTTAATTTTCCAAGAGATT